AGTCCTACTGCTTCAGTCCCCCAGGTGACAGAATTATAGGTACCTCCAAGCGCAGCTAGATCACAGTTTTTTAAAATGCATTAGTTCCACAGGGAAAAAAGTTTAACAGCTTCCCAGGATGCTAATTTAATTATACAATTTTCTATTATCCTTGGTAACAATTAATTACTCTGAGTGACACTTATTAGGGGAAAAAAAACAGCATTTCTCCTCCATAAGTTCCTTCTTTGAAATGAGAAGCAAGCTGGCACTATTTTTTAATGTAGCTCAGTTAGTCAAGTGCTTGCCTAGCACACATAACACTCTGGGTTCCATCCCCAGCATTACATAAAGCCAAGCAGAGTGCACAGCTATAATCCCAGCACTCGGGAGGTGGAAACAGGAAGATCAAAAGTCTAAAGTCATCCTCAGCTACATACAGAATTTGAGATGCTGTCTTAAAACAATTTTTAAGTTATGAACCACCTTTTCCCTAGAAATGAAAAAAGGTAGAAACAACATACAACAGCTACCTACTCTGAATCTTTATGAGGTTTTTTCTACAACAAATTATATATGGGATTCACGGTTAAAAGCAGCAATTTGAAGTATCTTAAACCTCATCACCTTCCTTCAACAAATAGTAAAACTACTCAAAACTGAACATTAAGAGCAAATCTTGGTTTCTCTCAATAATCTCTGCATTCAAGGTACATAATCTACAGTTTACACCTATTTATTATCAATTACTATTTCATGACTATATTTTATGAATAAAGACTATTTAAATTATTAATTTTTTAATAAATTCTCATCACTCCATAACAGTGAAAGATACTACAAATTGCTGCATTCCAGAAGTTATGTAAATTACATTTCTAATCTAAACTTAAGTCCTACAGAGAGCGAGGGTATATAGCTCAGTGAAGAGAAGACTCAGCATGGGTGAGGCCTGGTGTGCTCTGCAGTATCAAAAAAAAAAAAGAAAAGGAAAGAACCAGGGGGGCTGGGGACTGGCTAGG